CTAGCGTGCAGTATATTTAGTAAAATCGCTACCCGGTATCTGGTATACCACCTAACTTTTCACGTATAGAATATAGTGGCATACTCACTTGATTTCTATTAACGTTCATATTTAGACAATGATACCGAAAATTGTTTTCCAAATGGGATAAGCATACAGAGTTCTGCCTCTGTCCAGACTACATTTTCAGTATGTCGATACAGATCGTCCATCGTTTGAAACGTAAAATACTACAACAACAACACGATAACAAAATGTGAAACTCTTGAAAATATACTCTAACAACACAGGGATGTCCTAGATATACGTCACTTTTTTGTGCCGCGTTACGAGGACATAATTAGGACATCTAGGGAATGTCCCGCAATGGCTTTCCAGTGGACATCCCATCTGGTACATCCATAGGTTGTCCTATTCGTGTCTCTGATGGAATATCTGATAAACATTTACATCAGAGTGATCGAATTTCATCAAAATATTTATTGAACATTAAAAATTGATTTTTTTTGAAAATGTTTGTTTTTCTTCCGGAAAATAATTCTAATGGAGATAAAGTCTCAGAACTTCTCAAGAAGTGACCCATTCGCAAATAGAAATCGTAATGCATAATGCCCTTCATTTTTAAACACCCAAGCGGAGGAAGCATATTGGCCAATGGAGTAGTGCGTGCCTGATAAGATAAATGTCCCGGTTTCTTTTTAGGAGGAATGTCACTGGAATATCCTACGGATATCATTTCTTCGGACTTGGTACACCCCAGAAGGACAATGCACCATGTCCCGACACAGGATATCCCGGGGACGTCCTCGTAGTAAATGAAGAATGTCCCTGATGGGACGTACAAGTGACGTACTTGTGTTGTTAGGGTACCTAGTAAAGCTTCAAGAAATATTATAGGTACCTACCAATGAAACCTTTATTGTTCTCTACTGAGGTACAACGGCATACTTGCAGAAAAATAATGAACTGGAGAGAAATATAGGGTATATCTCCACTAACTAAAACTGAACGTTCAAAGAAATGAATGCGGTATACTGTGTTATACGTGAAAAATTATAAAGGGTCCCTTTCTCGTCCTGCCGATATGTGGGAAGGTAACCAGTATACAGGAGGTGCTCAATTTTGCCCTCTAACTCAAAACAGGAAGGGGTGGATGTGGCATCGCTCGGTTCACAAATAGGTAGGACAGTGCAACTCTCTATCACGTCAGACAACTGAGATATCTCGCTATAATCAATAATTGAATATGTTATGGATACAAACTGAACATCCATAACACTTAATCGATTTATAGGGTCGTTTTCTTGAATTTCGGAATATCCAAAATGAAACAATGCGTATCGCAACATTTAATGATTTTTTTTCTAAAAAAGAACCACCCTGCGTAATTTCAATTGTAGGGAAAGACTTTTTTTTCCAGTTTCTGTATGATATTCTCCCAAGCCGTTTTCAACTCACAATATTGATACACCAGCAAAACTAAAATTGTCGTGGACTCATCAGCGCAGCAGTGAATCAATATAAGTTGTTTGTTTACATCTCAGAATGTCACTCATTTGTTTCATTCTCTGGTTTCCGCAGGTTTCCATGGTATTCTGTTGTATCCACGGCAATCTAAATTTCAATGGATAGATATATTATTATTATATATTTATTTTTCTCCAGAATACAATATTCTTGTAAGCATTTTATATTCGATTCAATATTGTATGAGCTAAATATGTCGAAAACGGCTCAAGGGTTCCATTCAGAAACAATGGATAGGTATGGTATAAAGCTCGCCGATATATAGGTACCATCATCTTTTTTTTTCATTCATTCATCTTGGAGACTTGATCAGTTGGTGTTGATTTTGTATGCTTATATAGGTACCTAGGTGTGACGTTTAGTACACTGATGTGTTTCTTGATCAATGGTATTTCAATTTACACCAGACTGTCGCAAATTTGAATCAATCGGGTTGTTATTATTTTACATCAATTTATCTCTCTTCCAAGAGTGTGAAAGTAATACAAGAATATGCAGGAACTCTGAGGAAATCAGTCGGTGTCAGTTGGTGTTCCGAATTTGAAATAACGAATCACAATACTAAAATAGGGGTGGGGGGGGAACATTAGATCGTGGTCAACGCCGGTACCATCTATTGAAGTGAATACTCATTACTCATCGAGGTTCACGAATATTAGATAGAGAGCAAAACAAGGCAACACTGCCAAACATTATTGCTTTCCACCTACCTATTCAACAAAGGTTTGTTAATCTGTGCCCATACGTTTGAAGGGATATTTGATATTTCATTCTCATTTCCCGTTAAACCCGGTTGGAGTATTTCGGTGAAGGTGGTTGGAGACAACTACGTCATAATGACGTCAACATTAACTATTTTTGAAAGTTATTTCTTTCACTTTACCCACTACCACAGTTTACCCATGTATCTTAACTCCAATATCCACTCCGTTCTTTTTTAATTTATATACCCTCTATTCGAGTTTAACTTTAACCACCTTTACCAACTATGGAATTGGTCAACCCTAGGGCAGGTAGGGGAGGTGTACAAATAAACGGAAATGACGTCAAGGTTAAACACAATGATGAAATGGGATTATCAGCTTCAACCATGACGGATAATGTATATACTGACGTTTTCACTTTGAAGTTATGAAATACAAATAAGTAATAATTACGTAATTATAACTAAACATAGGTAATAGTTTCTTGAGCCATAGTGTTTGTAACTGAAAATGCTAGTTGGTTTCTTTTCATCTATCAGAAACTCATGATTCTGTATGCGTATTCACTTGAATAGACGGTTTTCTCCATAGACATAATATAAAAAGAGGGGAGACGAAATTGTTTACATTTTGTTCCGATCCAACATCGTTTTCAGCAGGAAACGATGATGACAAATTTCTGCGGATTGCCCTATATCTACCGCCTGTGTTTGAGAACGAGGGAAGCATCTATCATGGATTAATAATCATATAATATACATTTTTTATTTATATTCATCCTGTGTGTTTGTTACTTAATTGAAATATGAGAATTCTGCTATTGAGATAATTTAAATTTTCCTAATTTCATCATTACATGAAATTATAATGTACAATGGAAATAAGTGTCGCAACGCTGTATTTGCGTGTTTACTACGAGTTACGCATATTTTCATTATTGATAGATAGTCTATTATGGTTCGACAGTGGTGTATTTTCAGATATATGGACAGCTAGTGCGTTGATTGAGAAAATGCATGTTTGCCATACAAACCCTAAATTGGTATTTCGACGGTAAGTACGGTTATATGTTTCTTTCAACTTGAGCAGTGGTGTAGTTATTTAACTAAATTATTGCAACAAACCTTGTTTTTTTTTCAAATTCTACTGAATGATGGATTAAAAAACGAATATTCGTTATTAAAATAGAATTATTAGACCCAAACATTTTTTTTGTATGTATATAGCGTTGTCATTGTACGCGACTGCTGAAGAAAAGTTTACAGCGTTGCCATTTTTCAAAGCCATCTCTTTCTAACAAATTTGAAACTTTGGGAGTATGTATGATTCTAAACAAATAATGTTTGATGAATGAAATGTTCTGTCTCCCCTCTTTTTATATGTTCAGTGGTTTTTCCATGAGAAGACTTCCTTAGTCAGACGAACTAGAGTCTAGCCATAGCACCATAGCACCATAGCGAGGTAATATTGCGCCTGGCTCGCTGCTTGCTGGGCGCGAGAAACAGAAAATTTCCGGCCACTGAAAAAAACATCATTGAAGTAGCGAATCACTATCGGCCTAACCAGTAAATGCCTCCACAGTGTTTTTTTCGATTAATTACTTCGAGAAAAAAAAAGATTAGTTGGAGTAGGGATTCGAACGCCAGTCTTTTCGTTCGGATGAAGGAAAGCTCCGTGATGCCAACCTGTGACAATTTCCCCTTATTATGGGAATATTTGTTGAAAAAATATAGAAATAGGAACAATGGGAGAAAAACCAAATGAACTCATAATATGGGAATTTGGGAATTTTCGAACTCGGTTACCTGCTGCTACTCTGTAATTTGGGAATTTTCGAACTCGGTTACCTGCTGCTACTCTGTACCAAAGCGTACATACAAATGTATGTACGCTGGAGATTATTTAACTTATCTCTGTCTGTACCATCTTATCTCTAATCTTATGCTGCTATTCTGCACACCAGTACAGACTCTGTAGGCTATGTATAATTCCATATTTATAGAATGTAAGGAAATCAATATTCTGCCAGTGCGATTTCGATATATTTCTATAAACTGACATTACATAGTATGACCCTCTCGATGACCTTCCTATGGACCCGATTTTCTCACTGTAATTGTTGAATTACTTATGTAGGTAATAATATGGATGTTATGAGAAATCTTCATATATGTTTGGATCCATCGTTCTAGAAGAAGTTGGAAGGTACAAAAAATGAAAATTGTTACTCATTGATAATAGTATCAGTAGAATTTAAGAATTATTCAACCACAAAAAAGGACAATTAGTAAATGATACAATTGATATAGATAATTACCATTCTGAAATAACCATTTTGAGTTACATAGATGATGGTCGGCAGAATAGCAGCATTAGTGCTCTGGTGTTCCGAATTTCTCTCATATGCCCTAGTGACAAGAAAGTAGCCGTACACTTTTCATGTTCCATGCACAGAATACAGATCACAGAAGCTTAGAACAAGTGACAGTGACAGAAGTCAATATCAGATAATTTATTTGTTGTTCGGTATTTTCGATGAATATGTAGTAGAGATAACAGTTTTGACTTCCCTCCATAACATTATAGCGAAAAGGGGTAATTTTTTTTCTATACTGGAGAGGCCCATTTTATACGCTCTTCCCTAGCCGCTGTGGCAATATTTCCCGTATAGTGGTGCTATGGCTAGGCTCTAATAGACGAGTACACCGGGTGGCCGCATAACACGATAATCTACGGGGTCGGGTCGTCGAGTGGAGGCGTCGTAGATGCTCAGGCGTCGCCGTCGCTGCGGCGCCTGCGGCCGGGTCCGCCTGCGAAGTTGGCCGCCGCCAGGCCCATCAGGTGCTTGGCCGCCTGCGAGCCGGAGAAGCCGCGGCCCAGGCCGAAGTCCAGGCCGCGTTTCGAGCTGGAGACAGAACAGACGAAACGGATTATTCAACACTACACAGATAATATATTTAGTAACGCCTTAGTAACGCTATGTCCAGCGTGAACACGATACGAGCGATGCGTGCGATGCGGCAAACGCACGCACCGCTGAGGAAACGCAAAAAATGCGTTTGTGGCCAGTGCCCACGATCGTCGGTTGTTGTTCGTTCTTGCCTTTTGAGTTGCTTTGCATCTATCAAATGGCGGAACGAGTAAGTGTACTGTTATTGAAAAATAGTCTACTGAAATTGCAAATGTCGAGAAGAATTTACAAAAAAAAAAAAAACAGAAAGCGATCCCCCGTGAAATATTTCGAAAACGATTGGAGTTCGGTGAATTTCATCATTTATATAAACAGCTACGTGCAGATCCAGAAACATTTCGTCAATACACACGAATGGCTCCAGCTACATTTGATCAAATTGTAGAAGCAATACGTGACGAGTGTTATCATTGCACAACAAACTTTCAGAAGCTCATTACAGTGGAAGATTTCGTTTATTCCAGAGTAAGTTACGTTTTTGGATTTCAGAAATTAGCACTTCCATCGTACGTGTTTTGCGTGCAAACACAAACATGTTTGGATTTTAAACAAAGCTTGCGTTGCGAGTTCTTGAAATCACCCACAACGCACGCGCAATGCATCCACTCTGGACTGTCTAATAATACCGCATCGCACGCACCGCATCGCCCGCACCGCATCGCCCGCACCGCATCGCACGCACCGCATCGCCCGCACCGCATCGCACGCATCGCTCGAATCGTGTTCACGAGGGACATAGCGTCAAATCCAAACATGTTTGTATTTGCACGCTAAACACGTACGATGGAAGTGCTAATTTCTGAAATCCAAAAACGTAACTTACTCTGGAATAAAAGGAATCCACGGTACAAAGACCGGCACGTGGTTGACAGAGAATGGAATGAGGTGGCGAGAAATACAGGATTTAAATGTACAAGCCTTGATGTTTCCTAGTTTTATTTAAAACGATTGTTTACAGCTGTATTATGTTGAAATTTTTTTCTAAATCTACTATTCTTGCAATATAGGATTAGCAGAAAAATATCGTGTAAAAATCTGTCGGGCTTCTAGTGCTCCCTTTGCAGGGCGATTATTAGATCTGGATGCATTTAAATTCCGCATATTTCCAATATTGCGATTCGTCTCCGACGAATTGATAAATAATTCGTTTTTCATTTCATAAATGCAAAGCAACGCAATAGGCAAGAACGACAAACAACCGACACATTGTGAGCACATTGGCCACAAACGCATTTTTCGCGTTTTCTCAGCGGTGCGTGCGTTTGCCAAGTCGCACGCATCGCTCGTATCGTGTTCACGCTGGACGTAGCGTAAGTGGAACCCAGGCTGATTATCATTACATTTTTGTCTGTAAGGTGGCTCTGTGTATCGCATAATGATCCTACTCATATCTCTTGAATGCTCAATGATATATCAAGCTATTTACCAACCCAAGAATTAGGTTTCGACCTTGCCGATATTTCGAGTAGTGTCCATTTACGTCGCATACCGAGCTATATAGCACGTGTTTGTTGTTAGTGTACGTGAGCTTCCAAAATCTGTGAGTATATTCAAAGTTTTTGAAGTGAGTAGCTCAAAAACAATAGGTACCTCTTTGTAGTTTGAAGGTATGAAGGACGTTAATTTGTTCACATGGAGGAAAAGGCATAGGCTACACTTGCCCCTTAAAAATAACGTACCTATAGGGGAAAGTGTAACCACGAGCAACCTATGTTATGACCAATAACTATTAATAGTTTGGACACAAAAAATCTCAAAGTTGAAAAATCTTGATTTTTCACACCCTATATCTCTGTAATTGTCACTGCTAGACCCCAAGTGTTATAGGTCAATGAAATCACCTCTTCAAGGAGAATCTGGAAATGAAATAATATACAGGGTGTGCCAGACAAAAAAATAAAATTGTTGCTACTTTTCAGTATAAGCGACAACGTCGCAGCGCTGAGAATATTTTAGGTCGATAGAACACAACTAATTATTCAAGGCACCCACTTTTCAGAATGATCCTGGGTTGCGTTCTCCAGAAACGTCTAATGAGCCATCCACCGTGAATCAGCCTGTATATACCGGGTGACACAGGAGACATGTAACAGCCTGCAGTTTTTTTATTTGAAGAGATAAACATTTGAAATTCACAAGGGTTATATTATCAATGAGGGCGCTTCCTTTGAACCCAATGACAATTTTCTTCAACCACCTGTTTGATTGGAAGCAGACCCAACTTTTTTTTTCTTCAAATGGCATCCTGATGTATATTTTTGTAGTCTTATTCTCCTCAAAATTCTCTATTCAAATATTATCACAATTTGATATTCGTTCATTGATTCGCTGTTGAATTGCATTTTATAAAAATACATGAAGTTGGCTGTGGCCCATTTCGATTAGAATATTGGTGGACGATGATTTCGATGCTTGATAGGCTTAGAAATCCAAAGATCATTACTTAGACGATATTATCAGAATATTTTCCATACCCTAATCGGTCCAAGAAGATTGCCAATGATTTCATTGAGTTTAAAAAAGTCATCCGAAAATAACTCACGATATTGAAAAAACTAAGATAGAAACTCTGTTTTTTTCATTTGGCTACTTGTGAAGAAACTATTTGTCTTTCATCTTTGCCATGTAGCCATAATATGATAATCCATGTGGATACATGAAACTGAAATTGATGTAATAATTGATGTATCATCCTAATACATCTGAGTTCATAAGTCTACATTAGTGTATTTTCAGTATCATTTCGCTTATCAAATTATGATACATAGTTGAATAGAGAATTTAAAGGCGAATAAGATAGACTACAGAAATATACAGGGTGCCATATGAAAATAACAAGTTGGGTCTACTTCCGATCAAACAGGTGGTTGGAGAAAATTGTCCTTGGGTTCAAGGAAAGCGCCAATCATCAATAAGATAACCCTTGTGAATTTCAAATTTTCATCTCTCCAAATGAAAGAACTACAGTCTGGTACATGTCTCCTGTGTCACCCGGTATATCCATTTTTCATGTTCATAATTTTATCTGAGAATATTCCTTTTCAACAAATTGTTGTTTGATGGTGATATCTGGCCGATACAAACCATCTTGATTCGAGGATTGAGCCAAGAAATTTACGACCTAAGCTGGATTTATTGCTGGTCGATTTTGGTTTAAGCGATACTTGCGATAAAACGTGATTGCTCTATTTGAATTGGTTAGAAGAAGCCCTGCATCAAATATCGCCTTGGCTGGCATTGTGTTTATCGAATAGGATAGAATGAATTTTTCACTCTAATATTGTTCTTCTTGTACCGTAATTCCTTATATGATCATATAATGATTCAGGCATGAAAATTCATTGACTGTATATATTTTCAATCATTTTTATGGAATATACCTGAATTACTAAATTACAATACAGCATTTCCAATTCAAGAATTGAAGAAAAAAGGAAACAACAGTGGATCACTGAAGGTATTAACAAGGCCTCAGCAAAATTGTTGGGATATCTATTATCTAGACTGTATCAGGAAATTTACCAAAGAAAATGTTTCCACAATTTATACCCACCCATCTTATCGATATTGAAAAATAGTATATTCTTCACTTGTCCATTACTGCTTTATGATACCTTGGCAACGGTTGCTTTAACAGACCCATAACGCCCGGGGCGCCGTTCTGGAGGGTAATTGTTGTTTTTTGTAGTTTATAAAATTACTTACCAATTCTTGAAAGTACGCCAATAATTTGTTCTCATCTATGGCAATAATTTTACTTAGGAGTCATCTTTGACCATAAGTTAACATGGAATCAACACCTACAAAAAATTGTTCAAAAAAGTACAGTAGCCTTCAATCTGTGCAGACGAATGTGCGGGAAAAATTGGGGACTGCAACCAAAAATGACCACATGGCTCTATGCCAGCGTCATCAGGCCTATGATAGCATATGGGACAGTAGTTTGGTAGCCAAAGACACAACAGGCTGGAGTGATTCGAAGGCTCAGTGCTATTCAAAGGCAAGCTTGCCTGAGTGCCACTGGTGCAATGAAAACCACTCCAACAGCCGCTTTAGAGGTCCTCTTGAACCTACCACCACTACAAATATATATTCAAGGCGAAGCCAGAGCAGTCGTGAGTAGATTGTCAAGGGGTCAAGCACCCATAAGCAACGCGCACGGTAAAGACTATAGAAAGCTATATGAAGAGTTGGAAAGCGACCCCATCATGGGAATGCCAACGGATGGCATAATTCCAAAATATAGCTTTGAAAAAACTTTTAAAATAAGTATAACGGACAGAGAGGCATGGAAGGAAGGACCTCCTATCAATGCAGACATTGCTGTCTATACGGACGGCTCCAAAACTGAGTTTGGATCAGGAGCAGAGCTGGTATTTATGGGGCCAAGCCAAAGACAAGAGTCTCACTGAGCTTAGGTAAATACGCGACGGTGTTTCAGGCAGAAATTATTGCAATACATCATTGCGTGAAAGAATTGATAAGGCAAGAGTTTAAAGGCAAAACCATTGCAATCTATTCAGATAGCCAGGCGGCAATCAAAGCAGTCAACTCTATGCAAGTTAACTCAAAACTAGTATGGGACTGCTTAGAAACCCTAAATGCACTGGGCAGTCAGAACAGACTGACTCTAGCATGGGTACCAGCACATACAGGGTACGAGGGCAATGAAGAGGCAGACTCACTTGCCCGAGCAGGAGCAAACAAAGCTCTGAATGGCCCAGAACCCTTCTGTGGTATTGCGAAAGCTATACAAAAGACTAGTATCAAATCATGGATGCAAACCAAATCTCAAGAATGGTGGAACAAATCGCCAGGAATGAGACAGGCAAAAGAGTTTATTAAAAAACCATCGCCAACATTCACAGAATATCTACTAAGCCAGAAACGAAGTTCAACTAGAATACTAGTGGGACTTCTCACAGGGCATTGTAGGCTCAACAAACACATGAGTACGATAGGTCTGACTGAAGAACTGCTGTACAGGTTCTGTCAGGAAGAGGAGGAAACAGCAGTACACATACTTTGCCACTGTGAGGGCTTGTCAAGACTAAGGTTCCTTACGCTGGGTGAGGAAAAACCAGAAGCCCAGAGATACACAGGGGATCTGAAAGCTAGCCTATGGAGTCTCATAGAGAAGACGGGGCTAGCCGAAGAACTCTAATCGATTTTGAGGGCAGACACAATAGATCTGAAAAGGTCGCGGTGTGGAGGCAGATAGCCCGAAGGCCCCATTCTAAATCTAATCTAATGGCAATAATTTCATTTCTCAACTTCCATTGATTAAATTCTTCATAATCCTTGTCGTATATATACACGAGTCTGGATTTCTCTGGCAATAAATTAATAATGTTTTATGATATTCTTGTGTAAACTCGTATTCATTTCCATAATGTCTATAAGACTACTTAAAGAAAGCAGCAATGACATTCACTAAATTAAATAATGATCGAAATATTCAACAAACCTCAAAATATCAACAAATGCAATGCCTACCATGAGAAGAATAATGGATAGAAAATACTAGGAGCAATGAACCGCTTTTTGAAATCGATTTTTCATTATGATAAGATAATTTTTTCGTGAAAAATAAGATCTTGTATGCACCATGAGCGTTACTAGATCCTAACGCCCGGAGGGTAACATTCACCCGGTACATAAATAACTATAGAGTGGTTGCATCTATGCATGATAATGCATGTCCTGGTAGGACAGATAATAGAGCTAAAGGGTGCTGGCGAAAAATTTCACTACTTCAGCAATGATAAGATTTACACAAAATTCTTAATATCACGAGTATCACATGTTTTTCCTTACACAGTAGCTTCTTCAAGTATTTCACTTGAATTAAGAATTTTGTGGAAATCTTATCGTTTGTGAACTTTCTTAAATTCACTGATACGATTGATGTATATGGAAGCAAGCAACAATGCAATCCTTCATTGTTTGATTACTGATATCATTAAGCACAAGAATGTCATCAATGATATGAAAAATGAAAATCATCAGGAATTGTTGATATCACCTCTATCGGGATATTTGAATTTCAGAAACTCCCAGATTCAGTGCATTTTGCTATTTGTTCACAATAGATACATTCCTTCTTACAACATAAAATGTCTGATGAGAAAAACAAGTATATACAGTGATAATATGAGATGTCCATGAACAAAACAACTTTTGTAACAATGATAAAACACTCACGCACAGACCGTCTCACACACCAAATTTCATATTTCGTAAAATAAATTGAGTACTAGGAGTACTATAGAAATTTTGAATTTAATCAACTTCTTAAACACCGGGTTTTTGAAATCTTTTCGAATGAAATTATACATTTCCGGCAGTGAATCGACGAATCTTTCAGTATACTGGTATTCACGCATCCTCATTTTTTGGAGGAAACGAAAGATAAACCATCAAAAATATCGCCCCAATGCGATCATTCCGACACTTTCTAAAACTATGGAGAAATGATAGTAGAATTCTCATTCGTCTATAACCCTTCGGCCCCTTCGTATGTTAGCGAAAACCTAATGTATTCATTCTTTTCATTCAATTCATTTCATTCAATATTTTTCATGCTACCTAGCTCAGTCTACAAGGATTATCATTCTTATGTGACAATGAAGCATATTTTGATTTGATATGATTTGACTTCTGGGAAGTTCTGGAAATTCGTGTGGTTATATCAAAAATAAGACCTTGAGAATTGGATAAAGGAAAATAATAGAATGATCGTTATGCTAAAATATATTTTATTAAGATGAATATATGAATATAGATATTACATGCTCCCCTCTTACATAGTTGTGTATGAATATTATAAGAAAATATATTGATTAAAGCAACATTTATGTTCAACATATAATGATTATGTATTAAAAACTAGTTTTATCCATCAATATGATTATATTCAAAATGAGGATTAACATTAAGACGGTTATTAGAAAGTTACTTACTTTAAGTTATTAAAGGTACTTTAGGTTCATCTACCAACATACCCTAGCATACGGTACATATGTTCACTTCTTCCAGAGTGTCCTCTTTGTGTTCCCATATCGGCTGATTCCCTTTTACCCTGCTGCCCGTCCCTGTAGTTTTCCAAATACTGTGTGCTCTGAATACTGTGATCTATGGATGATCTTTTTGCTGCCGCACTGTAAATTTTCAAAAATATTTTCCTTGGGTTACCATAATTATTATAGCCAATTGTGTGAAGAATGCAATATTGTATTTACTGTGCCTATACCAACTCAAACTGCAATCACAAAATGGTATATATTGATGAATATATAACAAGGTATAATACATTTTTACATTGATTTCCTACGAGAATGAAGTTTGCAGCATGAGCCATCATAGGCGAATGCTGCAATCATTCGAGTAGGAAATTTCGCTTGTCAGCATGATGTTTTCTACATACGACAGAATATCGCACTTGACAACAGGATTTTGGATGTGACAATAAACATAACATATATTATCTACAAGCGTGCGTGATTCACCCTATATCCGCACGCAATTTGTTTTGGGAAGTGTCATATTCCCGCAACAGTGCGGGAAAAACAAAGATATGATAATATCGCAAAATATAAGTGGTAGCTGATGGAATATGAGAGTATGAGTTTGTTTGTTGCAGTATATCAAGTATGTATGTTCAGAATCATCCATCAAATTGCACTATTCATTGTGAAAATTAAGAAATATTGAAAAATAAGATTGATTATTATGAAAATCGCCCTATAGATTTGGATTGATCTGAAGGAAAACGATTATTGTTGTCATGCCAATCAAACCTCAAAAGAGTTTGTAATTGTCGAAGTGACAAACACAGCGGAATTGCCACCATGTGATCAAAAACTTCCAACTATAGGGATGCGATACAGATGCGTTATTGCCAACGAAGTTTTAAGAAAGGTATGAGAAGCTATACACGCGTTTTATTGAATGGTGCAACAATGAAGAAATGAAAATACCGAATGAAGAAGAAGTATTTTCGGCTCATTTTCCAAACCAAACCAAACCAAACACCTTATGGGCCTGCTGGCTTCCGCAATGAACCTACATAATGCGTCAAACAGTAAGTTCACAATAGCTATCACTAATAATTAGTAAATAGAGAATATATTTCTCTTGTTAGTTGTTCCTATTAGCATGGATAATTAATTGAACAAATCAATCAATTTGCTACGCCTGTAGAAAAAGTATTGTTCCTAACTCATGCGGAAAGTGTCTTTCCTGCACTCGACTGCTTGCCCGAACTCCGCTTCGCGTCGTTCGTGTCAACGGCAGTCGCGTGCGGGAAAGAATAACTTTCCGCACTTTACTATTTTATATAGATGTGTCATCCTGCTCACCTTTTGTAAGATGCCGTAATGCTGTAAATGAGCATATTAAGTGTTGGGATACAGACATTTTCAATGGGCTTATATCCCAAAAAAAATTTATTTCATAATTCGATAGAACTCACCCAAACTAGCTCACCACCGCAAACCGTTTCTTGCTGTGAGCTCCCTACGTTTTATAAAAAATTATTGAAATCCCCGATTTTTCGGAGCTCTGAAAACGAGGCGATAATGTGACGTCAAAACCCTAATACTGAAACAAGACTATTCCAGACAGAGATGAATGATACATGATTTCTGACAAATCAATTCTAACCTAGATTGACTTTTTGCAGCTCCATGTGAAACGGGTCAACAAAGCAATGTTGCTTATGTTTATGAAATATATTGGATTATTGTGAAATTGTAATGGTGCAAATGGTTTTGAGATTGAGACATTTCGTTGTCTAGAGATTGTTTATACTCCAATGATTCAACCTACAATCGACAACTCGAATATATTTTTCTGCAGTAGTGGTAGTGGATATCAAAAGATATTTCAATATCGATTTCGATTTCTCGGATATTTTGTTTGGATGATATGGCAACAGTAATAAGTGTCAGGAGAGTGTCAGTTTCAACCATATATCTACTATTTCTATATATGGCGCATCGCCTATACGATATCTCAACAAAAATGGGACCAAAATGAGAAGTACTCTTTGAATCTACGAGAACGAAAAGTGAAGGATGGAAACAGCCATATTGGTTTGACAAATTTCCTATTATTTTTTCCCTACGTCGGTATCAACGCCTATTTGTCGATTTCATTACCTATAGAGACAGAAATGGGTCCCGCTTTGATGAGAGCTATGATTCATATATCAGTAGTAGATATATATGGTTTATATATATATATATATATATATATATGGCGAGATGGGGTTTCTACGTCATAAGAGGGTCTCCGTTTTCAGAAGGTACTATCATTTATGTCCAAAAATAAAACATTCCAGTTAATTTTTCGATCGAATTATGTCGTCAATCATTATTTATGTATAAAAGGATCATTATAAACATGGTTTGAGTTGAAAGTTCTACTAAGGTGTACACGCCCATTCTATATAGTAGTTGCAGAATAAAAGGCACTGTTGATAATTAATAAATATATATTTAATTGTATTTCACCACTTTTTCAAATGTTTAACGTGTCCATGATAGTGGATTGTGTTGTGAATCTTTCTCGTTCGTTTTCAGTTTAGGTAGTTTCGGAAGTAACTTTTATCTTTCCATTATTAATATAAGTGTGTACTGTATGTGATAAAACTGTCATTCTGTAATTGGGCCAAAAGCCTGTTGTTTTAGCAGTATAAATAAATGATTTCTGATTTCTGAACATCAATAGTTATGTAACATTTTACTTCACGGAACTGTTTCGTGGAGAAGAATTATTCTAATTTAGTATGAAATCTGTCAGAAAACTATGGTAAATATTCTACCATTTTAGTTATGTGAGTAGAAAAAAATTGTTCGGGTCTTCTGCTACTAACATGCCATATTTCATTACAGCCATAAATTGAGCTATCCTCATGTAGAACATTATAATATTAGCTAGAACTTGGTTCCACATTAGCCCAATTTTCGAATATTGAATATGAAATTACAAGATTGTCTCAATATCAAACCAATTCTTCATTTCGATATCCAATAATCGATCCAGTGCCAATGTTGTAATAACTCAAAAATTTTGTGACGAGCCGATATCTATTTGCCAATATCTATTTGATATTGTCGAAATATTAACGATTACAATATGTAAATTTTCATGATTGGCTGATATTGTATTTTCAATATTGATCCCATATTGGAGAAAATTTTGCACAAATATTGCACTGATAATGGATTTCCAATATCAAGTCGATGTAAGTAATATTTCTTTTAGTAGTTGAGCGACGTTATAACAGCTGGCGCCACTAGCAGTATTGTGGGATACAGAAGACGAAAATGATTCTGATACATTATGCTGAAATGTAATATTGTACCAATATCGCTATTTTTTTCACAATGAGGCTTCGAATTTTGAATTTCAATTTTGTAGCAAGAACGAAATAAAATATTGATTGAATTTTATGACTCAACAAAATTATCACATCCTTGTTTTGGACAATATAATACATACTTAGTTGGCATCATATCTTTGTCCGATCATATATACGAATGTAAACTCGATATTGAATAGAGCATATCGAAACAAGATTTGAATTCACTATTCCACCAATATCAGTGTTCTACCTGGTTTATGACTGCAGTTTGAGTATATGGTGGTTTTTGATCATTACTCATAAGTCAATATTAATGCAATTAGGATCTTTCCGAAAATTAAACTGTTTGGAACCATGTTATGAACAATGTGTTGCTAAACATATCACTGTTTTGATAATATGATTTGCATTGTGGGTAATTATCTGACGACCGTTATTATATGAAAGCAATCATGTGATTTTTTTTCGCCCATACGTGTGTCCCAAATTCGATCCTCACTATTTGAATCCCGGTAACTATGACAGATAGAGAGTCGTTTAAATTACGGAAGATTCAGCAAATTCAATATTGATTTAGAATTTGTTAAGAAATTTAGACTAGCTAGTGATTTTTAAGTTATTCAAGGAAAACTGAAATTTCGGACATTCTAATAGTACTTTTCAGTGATCTTTTGAATAGTTTCGCCAGTTTTTGTTAAAAATATCAGATATCTGAGATATGACCTCCATATTATTATTTTCTCACCTCTTTTTTTTTTCGAAAATTGACAGAACCATTCCTGAGATCAGTAGAAACTATCAAATTGATGTTGGAAATATCTTTTCATACAATCAATATTTTTCGTGATATTCGAGAAAAACGAAAATATAATATATCAGATTTTCTTCAATAATTCAAAAATGACTGAATAATATAATAATGATAATGTTTATTTACCAACGAAGATATTTCGACAGAAGCAAAAGGTTAGGTACATTGATCAGATATTAAAATAAGGTAGTGATCTATCACTGAAAAATTAAGGTAAAGTGAACCACAAAAACCGAAGTTGCGCGTGGTACTCCTGTCCACAACTTTCAGTGAGTATGTGAGATCCTAATGTTTTAAAAATTATGTTGTATTATATAATACCTATTCACCTAATAAATCAAATGTAATGAATGAATGAATAACCATAGGTAGCCCACAAAAACCGAAGTTGTACGTGGGATTTTACTTTTCAAATTATAAATAGTTAATAGTAAGTATATAATAATGAAAGCATATTATAACAAAATGATAGGAAGTAGGAACGATAAAAATGATACTAGCATTCGTAGTAATGATGATGATAATGATGTTGATTATAATAATGTTAATGCTAATAATGGTAAACAATGAACATAAATAACGTATTATGAAATACTGTCTGTACGTTGATCGGTGAGGTGGTACATTCTTTATTCTAGATTTTTTTTGGGATTTTCTCTCCACATCTCTATAAAATAAAAATATGAATACTATTCCAATATTCATGTAGTAAGGACGAATCAGATAATTTGCCCCAAAATGTCACTGCTTTTAAAGAATTTTCCTATCAGAGAGCCTAAAAGAAAAATTCACTAGCTTGTCAGTGACAATTTGTATTGAAAAACTGTCAGGACAAATACAAATTTGCCATACAAAAAATCCATTTTTATGTTGAAAACGGGAGCAGATTCGTTCCCGACACGTCCAAAGATAAGTAAAAATTTGATATTTTTTCTATATACCTTTATTTCTCTACTCCAAACCTTTTTCAATAAAAATTG